GTAGATAAAAGTAGCATATTAGCTTTTTCCTAAGTCCAGCAACTGAAAGGAATAGGTGGGTTTCAGATCAATATCATTCTGAAAAGCTAAACCTGAACCACAGAAACTTATTCCAAAGTCAAGAGAAACAAAAAGGAAACAAAAAGAGCCTGGGTTGCCACGGAGATGTAACAGAACCTTGAGCATTAAGCAGCACTTCCTCCTTTCCAAGAACGTAAATTACTTCATCTACTTACATTTAGTCTTCTGGGTAGAGGTGGTTCAGCAGGATTGCAGAGTACATTTGAACAAGGTGGACATTTGGTTTCATCAATCATCATGAAGGTATCGTAGACATCATCCCCCAATCTGGTTGAAAGAATTGCAGATAAAATCTGTCAGCAACCTAAGTATGTAAATTTGTTTCTAAAACATCTAGTCTTAACTGCTTCATATCTGCTACAAAGAATAGAACTAATACAAATAAACATTTACATGTATTTTGGCACTGAATACAAACACCTGGGGTATTTGGCAGATGAATAGAGGAAAACTAACTTTCCTTTTTTTTTTTCAAGAAAGGCTAGCATTTCTAGGGTTGTATTTTAAAATCGTTAGAACAAGTCTTCCTTTCTGAATGTTGTTTACAAAGAGGGACTATCAAAGGATTTCATTTAACTTACTGCTTGAGAATGAAAACTAGTTTGAATAGGAAGCCTTAAAAGCTAATCAGAACAGGGAAGAAAAAAGAAAAGATAGGCAATTCTATTTCCAAACTCAGATTCTAACCTCAGCTGTACCACTTGTCTGCAGGACCTTCTCAGACCCTGTTTCCTGCATGTTACACTAGAAAAACTACCAGTCTATGCACTTTTGGGTCTTACAGGTTAAGAAATAAAAGGCCTTCTTAGGGCTGTCTTCTTTTTATTTATTTACTTACTTACCTACTAAACATCTACATAAACTGAGGAAAAATACAGTGAACACTACAGCAAATACTAAAGGGATCCTCTAAATTTAAAAATGTACTAAATTTCTCTTCTTCACCCACTTTTTCTGGTGGATGGTGGCAGCTAAGTACTAAATGATTAAAGATCATTTCTCTGTTCTTCAACACCAGTCTCTACCACTGTAAGGAACACAAAAGACCGAGAGGATTTACTTAATCCACAAGATGGCCCTGGATAATGTATTTCATCCACCATCCGCCACCAAGCACACTGATTTCCTAGTTACACACATCAGTATTTCACTGTATCATTTTTACATGAAAAACTGTGACTACAATAATGATGACAGGGTTGCAAGGAGTATTGTTTAAAATCTTCTTAAACATGTTGGAACATTTCAGTTGCTTTTAGAAACTGTTTGATAAAATTAGTTCTAGAGTTTTCTTATTGATGTGTTCTAGGAATACAAAAGAAAAAAAAAACACCCACTACAAACATTTTTGGAATGTTCTCTTTTTTAAACACGCTCCCGTTCTGATAGAATTTTTTATATCTTTAACGGAAACTGCTTCATTGACAAGAACCAGAAATTCTGGGCGTGACTGACTCTTTGCCAAAAGCATGAATAGAACAAAATAGGACAGGCGTCCACATTTACAGAGAAAAAGATGAGACACTCAAGACCTACAAGATTTCCTATAAAAAGCCAGAGGAAATTACTCAAAGGAAGTCTCCATGCAAATGAAGTGGGGAAGGGGGTCCCTTCTTCCCGTTTAGGTGTGAAATACATAAAAATTTCTCAAAATAGGATCCACTCAAAGCCCTTCTCAGCAAAGACGCTCACCTGCAAATCCGAAACCAGACCGCACCCCTCAAAGCAAAGCCCCAAGAATCCGGCCTTGATTATCTGCTCTGAGCAACAGGGCTTCTTTAAGAGGTACTGCTTCCTATCCCCCCCCCCCAAGTTAACTAAAAGAGCCCCACAAATAACCCCAGCTTCTCAGTTCCTTACCACGTACCCCGATCTAGGGCTTCATAGATATTCCCGAGGGCGGGCATTCTGCCTCCCTGACTCTGCTCTAGCCCCCTCCCCCGCTCAAGGTGGGCTGGCGAG